CAAGAGTCCAGCCCTGGGGGTCCCGGACCTGCCCTGATGTCCCAGGGCTGGGATCCTGCAGCTTGAGCTGCCCATGACCTTGGGGTGCCACGTTCTGCTGTGTCCCTGCAGCACAGTGGGGGCGGCAGAAACACAAGGATCCCTGGGACTGGCTCCCGAGCCCACCCCAGAGGGCTGGGTTCTGGCTGAGCAGAGCCTGGGGCAAAGGGTCTGGGGGCCACAAAGCTGTTCAGGTCTCCTCCCAGAGCTCCAGGGCCCCATGTGCTCCCCCTGCAGTGACCCTGATATCTGTTTTGGTCATTGCCAAAAGCTGCTCCAGCTGGACCTGCTCCACAGCCTGGCTGGAGGAGAGGGACCCTCTGCCATGGATGCATCTGCTTGGCTGTTCCAGAGCAGAGCGAGTGTCTCCATTGCTGACGTCCCTGCGGTGTCCGTGCGGGATAAACGCTCCACTGCTTTATTGGAAATACCCCTCTGTGGGTTTATAACACAGGGCCTGAAATCAAAACCAGTGCAGAGGCCTCAGGTGAGCGACACCTACGGAAGGTGACAGTGTGGTGGCCTCGGAGCCGCCCTCTGCTCCGAGCTGCAGCGGAGCCGACTCTTCAGCTGCGGCTTCCTCGGGGCCGCGCCAGCGCACGTCATCCGAGGAGCTGGCCCAAATTCAGGCAAGTCATTTCCAAAAACCCGATGTTTCACTGTCATGAAAATGTCACCGTTTATTTCCCAGCTCTCCGCGGTGCCGGGAGGTCGAGCCCGCCCGTAACCCCGCTCTGCGAAAAAGGGCAGGAGAATTTCCCAGCACAGGGAAAAATGCGCTGCTCTGACATTCCTGCCTGCGGACGCCTCTTGCTCCTTCAGGGAAGCAGGTTCCCAGCAGGACTGGGTGATTTTTATGCAGTTTGATTTGCAAAGCTGCCTTCTGGTACTACTCAGGGGGTAAGTCCCCCCTGCCTGACCCAGACCTCCCCTCCTGTGGCACTGGGGGGTCAGGGCCGAGTTCCTAATGGTGGGAGCTCAGCTCAGCTCCATGACCTGCCTCAGCCTGGATGCCCCGAGCACAGGGGTCCCTCGTGGCTGGTAGGAACCTCAGCCAGAACACTGGGGCCCTGCAAGGCAGACAGCAGGTGCCAGGTGAGGGGCTGTGGTTCCATAGGGAGCACAGCTCCCATCCCACCGCTCTGTCCCAGACCAGCACAGCTCCCCGTGGGCATCTCATCCCACCAGAGTTGAAAAATCTCTAACTGAGACTTCTGACATGATGGTACATAACAAAAAGAGTATAAATACGAGCTGTTGCCAAAAGTGCAACTCAGAAGCAGGAGCAGAGGAGCAGGAGAAGCTCGGCAGTGTGTGGGCAGCTGCCAGCCCTGGGCATCCAAAGGTCCCATCCCTACGGGCCGAGCAGGAGCTGGCGGAGCAGGTCGATGACGAGCGACGCCGGCTGCACCGTGTCGTACTCTGCAAACAGGTGACAGAGGTTCCCCGAGTCTGCCTGGCTTTTGGCCACGAACCCAAAGATTCTTTGAAAAAAAGGAGAGAGGCTTATTCAGTTTGCATCCAGGAATCTGAAGGAATACGCTGAAACCAGCCCCGGCCACAAAGCCAAATCCCAGTTCCAACAATTCCACCTTGGCCCGCTCCCCAATCACGTTTCCTTGGAAGCCAAGCAGCCGGGAGGAGCGTTTCTGGCAAGGCTTACCCAGCCGTGAAAAGATTCTTGAGCACAAGGTAGAGCCAGATATAAACTCCCTTCCTGAGCCCAGTGTGAGTCCCTGGAAAGGCTGTGGGATTTGGATGGGGGGTTCTGCACAAGGGGATGTGGAGAACGGGACTCAGCCAAACCTCTTGCCCAAACCTACAGAGCAAACCCGCCCTAAAAAACTTTACCCACCAGTCCCACCCCTCACCCGGCCACCACGGTAACTTCTATTGAATCCTCTCTTCATTTTTAAGCTGATTCTTTGATGTTCTGCAATGCAACTGCTTCCCAAAGCAGCATCATCCCCCCCCAGATTCCAGCCCCCGGCTCTGTGCAGGAGGTCCCTGTGCAGGTCTTACCTGGAGGACTTGGAGTACTTCTGCCACCTGAGGGAAGAACAGAATTGGAGTTGCTCAAAGGCTGATGTTTAATTCATCCCATCAGCTGCAAAGCCAAGGGTTATGTTTAGATCCACCCCGGCGCGTTACGCCCAGGGCAGTTTTTTGGGATTTGGGATTTGAAGCAGCGCAGAAGTGCTGGGAACAGCAGGGAAGGGAGCACAGGAGGCGGCTCCGACCGGCACGGCCGCCCAAAACTCACTTTCTGTTCTCAGGGTCCATCCCGCAGAACCTGATGGCAGCCAAGGGGTAGTGTCTCCTGAAAAACACCCTGGAAGAGGAGAGGGAAGGGTTATGGGAGGGAAGGGCCCAGGCAGGAACAGGATGATGCAGATCCAAGCCCTGTCACGGCTGCTGGGGAATGGGGGTCCCAAATGGCATCCCAGAACCCCAACCCCGGGTCCAGCTGCCTCCTGCATCCCACCCCTGAGGTGCTGCCACGCACAGCCCTGCACTGTAACAAGGGGCCAGGCCCATCCCTGGACCGTGACGGGGGTTTGTCCAAGCAGGGCAGCTTTTCCTGAGGCTGGGAGGCAAGGAGGGGGCTGGGTGGGCACAGGGGAGCTGCCTCTCCATGACCCCCCCCCTTCGCCACCCTCGCAGCCCACCCCTGGGCTCTTACTTCCTCTGGATGTCGGTCAGGGTGACGCCCTGCTCCGTCACCCTGAAGTGCACCAGGGTGGGCGTGGGCAGCGGCTCCAGCTCCAGGGTGCAGGAGATGCCTTTCAGGATGGCCGGGGCTCCCGTCAGCGTCTCCACGTTCACCGAGCTGAGGTACAGGACGTTGCACACTGCGAGGACAGCGCAGAGCCCGGCTCAGCACGGGTGACACCCGGGGCTGGGTCCCAGGGATCATCCTGCAGAACCCTCGCGCGGAATCCGGGCCGGGTTTGTTTTTGACGAAAATTGAAAGGTTCGGTGACTCAGAAATTCTTCACCAATTTAGTCTGGTTTACTTTAATTCTTCGCACTAATTGTTGTAAAAGTCAAAGTATTTAATTTCCCGTTTCTAAATGTCACATTTGGGGCGCTTTTTTTTTTTTCTCTGTTTATTACATATTTCCTTTAATGAAAAGCAGAAATACCCCAAGCCAACGAAGGGCTGAAGGCCAACCTAAAACATGACATTTCAGGCTGATTGAGCTGTTTAAAGGGCTGCTCTGGGTCAAACTAAACTTTCCAGCTTGCCAACTGATTTTTCAGAATTTCCAGCAAAACAAAGCCGTTCCCGCTTCCCCGGCCTGTGCTGTGACCCATCCATGTGGTCTCCTGCCCTTCCCTCTCTGCTCCCACCCAGGCTGGGGTGCACAGACCCCTCCCATCCTGCTCTGCAGTGCCCACGTGTCCCCCATAAGGTCCCTCAGCAATTCAAGCAGCCCCTGACTGCCCCGTCCCTCTCCTAAAGCTCCAGATGTTCAATCCCCATTGAACCCCATTGGGGAGAGGCTTAAAAATCAAGAGCTATTTAAAACTGTGGGAAATGGGTGCCTTTTGTCAGCCTTGTGACCTCAAGAACTGTGTTCTCTAGTATCTTGAGGACCCAAAATCTCATTTCCTTAAAAATACCAGGTTCCCTTACAGCCCAGGGGCTGGGGAGGAGGGGGGGGAGATCCTGGGGGTATCCCCAGCCCGGTGGGGAAGCTGGAGGGGGATGTCACACAGGCCCCCACCAGTGTGTGGGGGTGACCTGCTGCTGTCACAGCGTGCCCAGGGCTCCAGCTCTTGCCAGCTGGGCAGCAGTGCAGGCTCAAGCCCTCACCTGCAGTTTTGTTTGCCAGGGACAGCATGGATTCAGGAGCACAGTCTGGGCTGTCTTCTCTGTCAGCGAGAT